GATACGTCTTTAGGACCATTGTGCTGTGTTTCCAGCTCCTTTTCATGGAAATCTGAAATTGTGGTTATTGAAAAGTTTCAAGCAACTGGGAGAGGATGGTCTTAGGATTTCCATTATTTCACTGTCCTGGTTGAGTTTTCTAGTTTTCTCATGTGCCTGAAGTGCACTTATCTATACTTACGTATGGGTCTACTGGAGTGGAGACCATGATGGGAGTGAAGGAAAGAGTAGGCTAAATACAAAGATGTAAGATTAAATGAAGAGGATTTTATTGTTAGGTATTTGACCTCATATATATCTGTGCACATGAAGCTTTTTTCTTTGATAGAAACAGTATGATGCAGTTTCGAAGAGAAGAAAAACCACTTTTCTCACCTGAGGGCTTGTTGGTCATGAGTTCTTAAGGATTTTATTGCTGACGTGGAATAGTAATCTTATTAAATGCTGTAACGTCATGTCAGAGAAGGTTTTGGAAATATCAGCAGTATTTCTGACATGTTAACCAAAGTTACTTCAGATAAAGTATAAAGACTTGCTGCTTTTTAGGTGATGGATTGTTTTCTCCCACAGGGTAGCTGGAGCTTTGCCAGCAAGAATTAAGGTTTTGCTCTGCCTGTTTCCTGGGGTGAACTGAGTGAGATTGCCCTTTGGCAGTTGCCTTTATCTCAAACCACTACAGGCACTGAAAAGGAGATAGCAGGTTGGAGGGGGAACAGAGGATCCTGGGTAGAAGTGAGGGATGTCCTCTGGCTGCATTTCTGTAGGAGGCATTTGCAAAGGAACAGAGAAATTATTTTAAATGTCATCAGTTTGAATGCAGCGTGTCTTGTCTTCTGGGTTTAAGAACTAAATCTGAAGTGATTCCGTGTTACCCCTTCATAAACAGGAGCTTTTCATCTCTTAAGAGATTTGAAAAACTATTTTCTTATCTGACCTTCTTTCATACATGTCTCTAGGTTTCAACTCCATTTCTTTAGAAGTTTGTGTAAACAAAGGGACATCTGTCAGTCAGTCAGTCTTTTCTTACCAGATAGAGGTTTTTCTTTTTCCCCCAGTGCCTTATTCACATTTTGTTTTTCTGTCTTCTTACAGTTCTGTTACCTTGTAGTGTGAAAGCCAGGAACAAAGGACAGAAAATGTATCAGAGAAATCTCACAGGGGAACAAACCTGCAATGCTCGAACCAGTCCCAAAAGGGAGAAACAATTGTGGTGGGCTGCTGCAAATAAGAACCCCAAGGTCTGTTCCCAGGAGCTAAGGAGGAGTAGATGCTGAATTTCAGTATACAGGGTAATCTGTGCTTAAAAGCTACAGTCCTGTGTTTGTTTGTTCTGCCTTTAAAGGGCATGCACAATTACTTGCATATTCAACTCCTTTTGAGCATAATGAGCGTTCCACACAGACATCAGAGAAGAGATGGGAACTGGGTGCCTAGCCAGTGTGATAAGTAGGGTTTTAAGAATGGGGGATACAGTGTTTTGAAAAGTACTGAAGTACTAAACATTGCATGCATAAACTGAGTGCCTAGCCAGTGTGATAAGTAGGGTTTTAAGAATGGGGGATACAGTGTTTTGAAAAGTACTGAAGTACTAAACATTGCATGCATGCTTTTATCTTGTTTCAGAGAATGAAGTGAGATGATGAAGGAGTGCACCAAATTTGCATTTTTTATAGGTTGTTTTGTTCATTTAGGGGGAAAAAAGTTAACTTCGACCCCATGTTACTCCCCAGATCTGATCAAGAGAGGTCAATAACAAGATTGCCTCCAGGGCAGGAGTGGAGCTGTTTGCCTTGTGATAATATCTGCAAGACCACTGAAACTGGATCCCACTAGTGCAGGGACTGTCTTTCATTGTGAATTCCTTGTTGCAAAAAAGTTTGTGTTTCAGATAGACAAGACAAAGGGTGTGAGGGGAAACGACTTAGTGATGACTGTCTTATCATCCTACAACGGGGCAAAACACAGCTTGAAGTAAAGCCCTGCTGTCTTTCATCAGATACCCCTCCTTCAGAAACTCCTGAGCTTTTGTCCCTGCAACCTGAGCTGCAGCTCTCAGTGTCAGGGCCTGGAGCCAGCCTCTCTGCCTGGTCCCACCTCGGTTCATGAGTGGGTGCTCCGGGGTGTGCAGGTGCAGCTGAGGTGCTGGTCCCCACTCTAGACCATTTCTGTCCTTCTTACCCTTCTAGCCCATTACTTTTTAATTACCATGTAAAGACAAATGGTGATCACACAGGTTTCTTCTTTTTTTTTTTTTTTGCTGCTGCTGAAGTGGGTAGGCTACTAAGGCTGACAGTGGTTCATTATGTGATGGAGAGCCTTAGGAAACTAACCTTTGCCCTTTTATTACGTGATCTCTAAGCTGATGTTGAAGCACCACCCTTGGCCTGACCCCAGGTGTCAACAAGAAGCACACTGTTGCTTGGATGCATGGACCTTGGTCCTCAGGAGCTGGCGAGGGGTCATACGTGCGGCGCTGCCTCCTGCAATTAGGGGAGCACTCAGGAAGCTGGGCAGAGCTCTCAAGCAATAATGGACTCTTTCAAGCAGGATGCGGGAACCAGACGCTTTGTAAGGTGAAGCCTGTCCTTAAAGAAAACCTAAACTGGCTCTTTTTGTGGGGTGCAAGTGGGAAGAAAATGGAGCTTCCTTCTGGCACAACTGCCCAGCTTAGCCCAGCAGCTCTTCAACTTCCATTCTCTTCCATAAAATTTGCAGGCTGCAGGATGATCTTTGGGGTCCTCTCAGACGCACTTACAGCCCACATACTGGGGTGTGATGCAGAGAAGCCCTCCATACTGCCATAAACCTTGTCTGCAGTGAGCTCTAATAGAGCAAAATTATGTTTGTGAAGTCTCAGAATTGTTCCAGATTGCTTCAGTGCACTGCAGCAATGCTCAGATTTGTAAATCTGCTTACAATTAACCTCTCTGGAGGGAGGGAAGGAGGAAGGGAGGGAATGCAGGGAAATTACCATGAAGTGGAGAGAATCCAGTTTCTGTGCTCTGTATTTGGTTTTAAAAAAAAAAAAAAAAACTTGCACAGAAATGTCTGTTACTCTTTGTCACAGACTTCAGAGTCTTATATTTAAATCTTCATGCTTCTTGGAACATATGATTACATTCTGCTACTGAACAACAGAATGAATGGATTTACTTATTTTAATTCTGGTTTAAATTGCCAACCAGGAAACATCAACTTGAAAAACTGTCATGTTTGTATTTTTTATTTTATATTTCTCTTTAATTATCTTTCAGACTCCTTAGTGAAGCATGATTCCATCTGCAGTGAGTGGCTAAGTGGAGAGCTAGTCTGCATGGTTGCATTTGAGAAGTTCATGCAGATTCCACTGGTGTAATTTTAAAGTGAATTAATTAGAATGCATGAAATCTTTATTTAGATGCTTTTAGACAGAACTGAGCTGGTTTGGTTTTTTTTATTCTTTTTAGCCAGCCGTAAGCCCTGGATTTAGGAATTGTTTCTGCTTTGCTACAGGCTAGATTTTTAACTAGATGCCTAAATACCACACGGTGGCTGGGGGCTTTTTCAAAAGTTCTAGTGTAGTTGCCTCTCCTGTAAACTCGCCTTGCTTTCTCGAG